CAGCTCCAACAAGAGATGATGATGAATTAACAAGTGTTTTTTAAAGGAACTGGATCAAATGAAACTAAAGTTGTACAGGGTTATCTTAGCTTGTGCAATCTGTTACACTTGAAAGTCAGTGTGTAAAATTCTGAGTATATTTACTTGATTTTATAGGATTTCCCCCAGAAGAATCTTGCCATGATGTATGAGATGTATTACCCAGGCGTTCACCCAGTCTTTATGTTTTTCTCTTTATTCTTTCTAGTTGGAGGATCTATTATGAGAACTGTAAACGAAGGCCCTAAAAAGATCTCTCGTGTTGAAATAGTGTTCCTAGGGAAAATTCTCATAAGTTGAAGTCATTCAGAAAACAGCTGCAATTGTTACTTTGCTGAAATACGTCTACACTGCTGCACTGTGATCTGTCTTTGAGTGTCTATGGACAAAATGTTACTATACAGCATCCCCCCTCTGTACTTTAGACCTGCTTGGAGCTGTAAGATCTCTTTTTTTTATCGATTAGTAAGTGTTTTTTAATGAAATGTACTGCTTTTATTATATAGGACTCAAAATAAGATCTAAATCACTATCCAATAAAAGAAAATTATTGAGTTGGATATCTAAAGTTACTACCCAGAGGCTACTCTGGTACAGTATTTATAAATCTCTAAACAGTTAGGTATAATTGTCTTTCTGGGTTTGGGAAAGAAAGCCAAATAGCAGTTTTAGTTACAACTGAAGATAAATATTTTTTGTTGGGCCCTGTTCATCTGGTGGATAAAAAAAAGTAAAATGCCCACAATGTAAGACTCTTATTGAAAAAAACCAAGAAACCCAAAATACTAAATGGACTAGTCAATAGATGCTACCTGAGGAAGAAAGGATGGAAATGACAACAGAATGAAGGAAAGGGAAATTACCGGAGGTCTCCCAGTGTAACTGCCAAGGCAGAGCCCATCCCATACTCAGTACTCCGAGGTGCTTTGGAAAAATGTTCTGACAAGTGAGCAAAAATGCTTAACATGGATCCAGTATTCTCTGGTCTTCTCTCCAAAATCCTTCTTGATAAAATAACCTCAATTTCTACTTGAGGGAGCAGAATGAGAAACAGGAAGGACAATAAAAACAAATCTCCAGTTCTGGAGGGTGACCTTTTTCTCCACCAGAAACACATTTCTTTACAAATCTTTCTAGGAATATGGTCCATCAAGATCTGTAAGAGCACTTCAAGAAAAACACAGGGCTTCCTTGTTTATGAGTAATTCTGGGAAGAAGTGGGCCAATCTTTGATTTTACAGCATTTTGTATTTCAAAAGTTGAGATATCTTAATGAAAGTGATAGTCTGCTGCAGCTTCAGAGGGATACATTTTGGCCTTTCTGTCCTTGGAATCTAGGTCTCCCAAAGGCAACAAACTGCTCTGATGACTTCCAAAAGTTCATTTTGTTACAGAAGGAGGCATTATCAAGTCTTTATTTCTGTATGAGCTGTGTGTGTATTAAGTTAACTTGAACTAGTAATGAGAAAACCCTTTGTTGATATAAACCAGATTATTTCAAAGAAGTTTTTTCAGCAGTTAATTCATTGGGTATTGGCAGCCCTATTTTTACAGAACTTTCTCTATCAGGAAGGCTTGCTGTCATGTGTCCATCCTCCTGTTCCTTCTACAAGACCTTTCCTCTCAGACTGCATCTGGGTTCCATTTCAAAGATATGTCCTTGGTTGGAAAGGGTATGTTTGGATGGACACAGAGGGTTGGCTGGTGATGAATGCCTATGACTGGTAGTGTTAAAGTAGGTGATGAGCGTGAGGCTCTGGGAAAAGTGAATGAAATCCCCGAATTTGTGGATTCTTTTTCTGCTACCAACTTAGAGCAAAGGAGTTAGAGACAAAGCCCTGTACTTCAGCACTGGTGAATGATTATGGCTTATCTGATGGTTAAATAAATTTGCATCCTGCTTTTTATGGAACAATTCTTATACCGGTGTCATCTTTTGTCTCATGCTGGAGTGAAATAATCACAGATACAAACTGGGAATATCCTTGTGTATTCAATAACCTATCAATTAAATGACTATTTTTTTTTCTTTTTCAAAGGCATAAACATAAACTACATATCAAGTTTTCATATGAGATTCCACTGCTTAGTGACTACATAACTACACATATACAATACTATATGTTTTCTTAGAATAGCAAAGATAAAATTATACTGTGAAATCCCTCACCAAACATCTTGCTGTTTAGGCCATACATTTCTCAGAATACTCACATATTTTGTTTTGTTTCTTTTCTTTTCAAGACCCTGTAACAGGTCAACTGACATTCTGCCACACACTCAGATTTTCTAATGTCAGTGTTTCTGATGATCAGTAACAGGAGTAACATAAAAGAACAGTATAGAAGATTCAAAGGATAGTGTTGATGTCTTAATTCAAAATCGTACACTAAGATCTAGAAAAACTCAGACTGGCAATGCTTAAGATTTGTGCCAGCTAATGTGTTCAGGATAATTATGTCAAGCAATACACAAATGTAAAATGACAATTCCCTCTGTAAACAATGGTACTTAATTGCCAGTAAGAAGCTGTGAGTTTGTTCTAGAATGCTGCTTGTTGACTAACAAAAGTTGAATCACCTAGTTTATATAATTGTCATGATAGTTGTGTCCACCGTATGCTAACGATGCATTTCACAATGCATCACATATATGCATGTCACATTGCATATAATTTCCATAAAGTTTGTGCTATCTAATGATCTAACTGCTTCTGACAGTCTAATCATTGTATTCAAGGTCTTTCAAGAAAATTTACTGCACTGAAAGGAACACAATCAATTTAGGAGTTGTGGATATCATAAGCAAAGAATTTACTGGGAAGATAATTATTTTCTAAAGCCACTGGGCTTATAAGAACCCCTCCTTAGTCAGTGCTCTCAGCTAAAATAGACTGCTAGTTACCTGCCTTATGTTACGCCCTGTTTCCCCAGAAAAGCTACATAAAGAGTCACCTTTGTTTTTTAACACACAGACTGGTTCTTACCTGAAGAAAATTTCTTAGAATGTGCTAACCTGTTGTGCCTATGCTTCTCTGCATCAGCAACACTGAATAGGGCTAAAGGGATTTGGACCATGGCCAGTGTACACTTCTTGACCTATAGGGGCTATTGCTGTAGCAGCAACCTGGGTATTACGATTCATAAAACAATTCAGTCTGGAAGGGACATTGGAGGGGCTCTGGTCTGATTTCCTATTCAAAGCAAGGTCAACTACAAGGTCAGGTCAGCTTCTTTGAGGCTTTCTGCAGTCAGGTCTTGCATACCTCTAAGGATGGAGAGTAAAAAATGGCAGGTGTTCATGGGGTGCACAAGACCCATATTGTTAGGTTTTTCCATCCTCACTGAGGGATGGTCTAAGATCCTGTGTACTCCCAGAGGTAAAATGCAACAGTCAAGTGCTGGAAATGTCTCTAAGCTCTGAGCAAAGACAGAAGGAAATTCTCTTAGACTGCTCATGCTCAAGAGAAGATTCTATTTCTTGATTATTTAATTTCATGTGTGATAGGAGACTGTGAGAAGTTCCTCAAAGAACAGCCACTAGCCTGGCAGTGAAAGTAGAGATTTGGTTTTGAGAACAGAATTTCAAATTCCAGGTCTAAATCAGCAAAACAGGGAACCTCCATGACTGTCTTACACTTCTGCAGTGAGTTTTCTAATCATAACTGTACATTATCATACTGTGAGCAAGTCAGTCGCGCAAATTTATGAGGAAAAAACTCAACATATTTGGAGCTGTATTGCTTTCAGGTCACAGATTTAAAACTTTGAACACTCATGGGATTTAAAAAACCCAGTTCCTTTCTCTTCTTCTTAGATCTACTTTTTATCCAGAGAACTCTCCCATTTGACTTTGAAAAATTAAAACTTTCAGTTTCATGATGCAATTTAATTCCAGCATTAAATTCCACTGTTTTATTGCTGAGTCTAAGAAAGAATTTTCCAAGTTCAAGTTTCCATACTCAAGAAATTACACTGTTGCCTCTGATTTTTGGCTCATAATTCCTATTTCCTTATTAGAATGTAAAGAGGAAAACCTGAACTTAATCTTAGTTCTCACAGTCCTTGAGGGAAAACTATCTCTAGGTCAGGCTCACGGGCAAACTGCAGACCAAAGCACTACCCTTTCTACACCTACATTTATAGAAGAGCTAGATCCAGTGGGAATATTTACTGCAGCAGTTAATAGGTTTATCAAAGGTAGGACTTGAGCTGCATAAGCTGCAAGACCCTTCAGGGATGGGAAGATGATTGTTTTTACACTGATGGTCTTTGCCAGGGTGCTTATGACTGCTTTGCAGCTGCTTTGCACAGGCACAGATGGTGTAAAATAGCCTTTGGCTACCTATGAATCAGTCCCCTACTCTCAGAAAAGACTGAAGGATTTTGTTAAACGTCCTTAAATGGGATGAGTACATGTCAAACCATGGGAAGAAATCAGTTTTGAATTAATTCTAAGTGGATTCTTGAGCAAGAAGGCACCAGAGCGGTAAAGAAAATTTAAAACTCTTTGTTCTTTTTATTTTATTTTTTGTATTGTATTACTCAAACTTGTATTTTCTCTGTGGTTGCAATGTGTTTCACATAAAAAAGAAATCTCATTAGACAGAAACTTCAGGTATTCCAAAGTGGGTATAAGTTATCATTGGCTATGTAAGAGCAACTGCCCCTGTAAGAAAGCCACAGTGAGAAAGTGATGAATTCATGTATGTTCTAGGAAAATGTTAAAATGAGAAAAAACGCCAGTTTCATGTTCATTCATTTTTCCTCTAAAAAATGTGCTTTGTGATGTAGCAGAGATTCTGTGTGACTGTCCCTTTAAAAGCCATCATACCAATCAGCAGGTTTAACTGTCAAGCAAGCTGATGTAGGGCTCTTTGAATTACTGAGTGAGGGATATTCCTCCTGCCAGGTCCTGTCCCCTGTAGGCACTGCAGAGAAGTATTATAGGGCAGTCCTTACCTTGGGAATTAGCCTGCAAGACCCCAATGCTGTCATCAAACTGCATAGATTTGATGTTGAGTGACGCCAAGATGCATTCCTTGTCCTGCAGCGAAGCATCATCAATATTATTCTGATTGGCTGACAGGATAACGCACATGTCGCAGAGGTTGATGTTGACAGCCCTTAAATCAGCCCGACTTAATGGCGTACCCTTCGGCACAGAGAAAAAAAAAAAAAGGGGGGGTGCAGAAGAGGGAAAAAAAGAAAAACAAATTAAAGATTGAGAAGGAGCTTTGGGAAATTATTTAACAAGTATCTTTTTTATGCTCTGACATTAAGCTGGTCTAACTATGTGCCAGGGAATAGGAGATGTGTGCTAATCTAAAGGGTAGTTGGTGCTGATGGCAGCATTTTAGGTTCAGTCTCAATACTCAGTCAAGCTATTACTAACAAACAAGAAACAGGAATAATGCCAGCATTCTACATCTCATCGGTGACTTGAAATTGTCTTGATTTAAGTTGCTATCATGTGGCAACCTCTGGCTCTCTAAATATAAGAAGGGGGTTGTTTTAAATGTCTATTTATCTACTACCAAGTTCACAATGGTCTTGGGCAAGAGAACTGCAATTTAAACAGGAAAGCATTATGTGTCCTACACATTTGAAATGCAATCAGGATAAAGCTATTTTTTTCTACCTAAAGCAATACACAGATAAGGTTAATCCTTTTTGAAGCACACTTTTGGTGCTTCTGGAAGGAAAACACACTAATCTTCAAAGCTGTGTGATTAAACCCTTGGAAACGGAAACAAGACTTTATCCTAGTGGGCACAAGTCATAAAACGTTCCCTGTTCCACAATCCTCAGTCGGAGAATGTAGAGGTTGAAATGAAATGTTGTGGTAGTCCGTGTATTTTTTTTCATAGTTAACAAAACCGAGACATGGCACTTAACATGACACTTTTTGTTGAAAGATAGCACTTGCCTTTTACACCCAACAGTCTACAACTGTGGTTACAGAATATTAACTCTATGTCACAGGGGCTGCCAGGTCCAAGAAAAAAAGATTTTTTTTTTTTTTAATGGAAACTAGATTGTGCTCTGCTGCCTCACATGGTTTGGTACCCAAAGACCCTAATGATGAGGAGACATAACTGTCCCCTTGTCACACAGTGACTTTCAGAGAACCAAGTCAAGACCCTACTCTTCTATCTCCTGATCATTCATGGTGAACATCTCCTGAACTCCACTGAGAATATTCAATGCAAAAGTGAATTTAAAATGCATGCAGTGAAGAAGGAGCTCAATTTTTTTTCAGTGACTGCTATGTAGTCTCAGATACCAGCTTAATTATTCCATGTTACTTTCAATAATTTAAGGCATGCAACCTTGTGAAAAACAGTATATATCACACAGATATGATTTCATTATAAACTACTCAAAAGTTTGGATATGATTATTCCTGCCACCCTAATCCTGCCCTTTGTGTCTGAACTGTGCACCAAATGAAGCAGGATTACTGTGGGGAAAAATAATATGCAATCATGTAATTAATTAAAGGCTTAGTCCTAATGATTTTATGCAAAGGGACAGAATTAAGGCTGCCTGAGGATATTCAAAATTGGCATTTGCCTACTTTTTAAGAGTTTACTCAGCAGCTTAAAGGCCTCCTTTAATATAGACTTCAAATTAAATGTCCACTTTTTTTTTTCAAACCAGAACAATTTTTTTTTATATTCAGCTGTAACCACATCTCCATCAGATATCAGCAGCAAGTTTTATCTTGTGAACCAAAGCACAGAGAAGTAGGAAGTGAGTTTGAGTGACCTCCCTTTAACACGATTCCTACAAGTATAATCTCAGAAATTTTAGTAGATTATTTAATTAGTATAATTAGATCAGAATTATGCTGCTCTTTTTCACATCATATCATTTTATTTTGAACCAGATAGGCTGGGGAAAAAAAAATTGGAAAAAGCAGTAATGAAGTCTGGGTGGTCTTCAGCACCTTTGATTACTGTGTCAGATACTATTCCTTTACAAAAATCTGTATTTTTAAAGATGCATTGACTAACTATTTTAGCTGTTTAAGTCAAAATTAGTCTGAAACTACTCTACATCTGAGTGTAAACTGGGGAAAATAGAATTGGTGTATGCTTCCTCTTCAGAAGTCAGAATCGAAGCTTTACAAAAATGCATTATAATAATGGATACACATTATGTGTTGGAAGTAGTATCTGGATTATATTCTGCTGTGTAGTTCTGCCGACGTCCACAACAGTACCAACTGTTCAACAGTATTCTGATTCCATAGTCTTTAGCCTTCACAGTGACTGGAATTAAAAGGAATTGGCAGAAGGAGGAGGATATTAAGTGACCAAATCTGATATTGACACTCTTTTTGTGACAGCAGAGAATCTTCTGACACCATCTGTTGGATCAGGTTACAGAAAAAAGCCAAGGGCTAACACTAAAACTGGATTTACAGTAACAAAGACCTGCAGTCTGAATTAATCAAAAAGTGAAGACGGTCCTTTCATTCTGTAGCTATTTTTCCAATTATTCAGTTAAGGTTACATCAATCATTGATTTATTTATTTTTACTGCTGAAACAAAATTATTAAGAACTAGTAAACTCACAATTTTTCATTCTGAAAAAAACATCTAAACCAACTTTACTATGCAACATACAGAGGATTCTTTTTCATACTTATACCATGAGCTGGTTTCCCTCTTGCCTATCATTTATAGATATGGCCACCTAAGATCACTACTTTGGAGGGCTTCCTTTATTAGTCCTGGAGCTCTTGATTCTACATTTTGGGTATGTGAGCGAATGATAATGATATATAGGAGAAAAAGGACTTTGGAATTGTGGTTTTAGTGGTTGCACCTACTAAAATCAATAGGAGCTTTTCATTGATCTAAAAAGGATCAGGGTTTTCCCTGATGATACACTTCCACACATGAGTACAGCAGAACTCTGAACTGAAATGCCATGGCACTGTTCCTTATAAAGCAGACCAGTCCACCAAAGTTTTTAAGAATACAGATAGATATTACGTAGATAAACTATAATTTTTTTCAAAGGTTTTGTGGGTAAAAATACATAAATAATGTCATCAATAACTACTGTCATTCTGTCAAAGAAATCACAACATCAGAACTAGCTACATGCCGTGCACTACAGTCAATGTTCAATACATAACACAGCCAATACATCTGATAGCAGCTGAAATTCATCCGATGAGGATGACAAGGAACCAAACACTGCGGCAAATATCTTCTAATAAGGTCTCACAGGGCTCTGTTTTCATAGACACAGTAAAGGCAAAAATCTAAGTCCTCGGGCCTATAAGTAGACAAAAGTAAAAAAGCCTAAGATCAAAGTCAATACGAATCTGTCCAGCTGGTGTCCTAAATAACAAAGTATCAATAATATGGCTTTTGAACTTACAGGCAAGATTGAAACCTTGGGGAAGTTATGCAGTGTCTCCCATTCCCTTCTCAGGTATTCAAGTGAACCCACAAACACAATGTGCTTGAGTTCATGGTAGTGAAAGTTGCTGGCTCGTAATGGCATCACTAAATTTCTTAATCCAATCAAAGCAGATTTAACATCCCCAAATATGCAAACGACTACATGCCCACTTAAAACTGTCATCGCTGCTTCACTTCGAGTCTAAAAAAAAAACAAACAAAACAAAACAAAAGACAAGGGAAAAATGAAACAAAGGGAATCTTAAATCATTGAGTTTAAAACCAGGAAAAACACAACTGTCAATATTGTTCATGCACAAAGAAGCAGTTTGATAACAGCTGTTCATTTTACCCTTATTTATCTTTCATTAAATGTGTTCAGAAGAAGAAAATTTCTTTCTTGTTTGCAAATCCTTTGGTGTTTGGTAAGACATTGTATCGGACCAAATTCCAGTCCTGTCTAAGATTCTACACATGTGGATGGTGGCTCTGGCTATAACCAAAGCACTAAGGGTTTAGACAGACTTTAACCTACTGCATATTTAACCAGTAGAATTATAGAAAAGAGATGCAAACCCATGCCCTAGCTGATGAATGACTAGTTGAGTTTTTTCAGTACCAATTTGAAAAGGAAAATGTGAGAGCCCAATGGTCATAGTAGCACTTCATGGTATTACCCAGATATTGTGAATTGAGGACCACAGCCTCCTACAGACAAAGTTCTTATTTTAGGACAAGCTGCTGTTACTCTGAGAAGCAATCAAAGAATGCTCTACACTGCTCCCTTTTACTATGGATGCTCACTATACTCCACAGAGCTTCTCTCAGTAAGAAAAAATTAGTGCAAGTTTGTTACTAATGTTAAATTTTCAGGCCAATGGGATTTCCTGAGTTGTTGAACAGATAGAAGCAAAAAGGTCTGATGGAGAATATTTAAAAGATTTCCAGAATTATCTTCTTGTCTCAATGATAAAAATAAATTTCTGCACTAGTTTCATCATTTGTTAGGTCAGTTGAGCATGCAACTCAAACATCAAGATGATTAAATAAAGTCATGAAAAAAAAATGACCTTAAGTTCTGAAGCCAATCTTAGCATTGTCATACTCCATCAAATAGCTGGAGATCCACTAATACCATATTGCCAAGAAGTTGTACACTCAGTACCATTAGATATAAAAGCCAGTGGTGAATTGTAAAATTATCCTCTTATTTATCCATAGTATATGTCATTTTTCTAAAGTATGGAAGCATGGTGATTTGCAATACAGAATGGAATATGCAGCAGATATGCTCACTGTGCAGGAAGAATGGGAACTCTGATTAGAAGTTTTCTCATCAGTTAAAAAATGCATGAGCTTTTAATTTCTCCAGGGCAATTACACTGACTTTCATATAGCTTGACCACAACAGTTGTCTTAGCCCTTCAAACAGAAGACATGAATGAATACTCAAGTGAAACATGTAAGTTGCCCCATGCCAAAGGGTCTGGAATACCCAGACTTTACAAGAGAGAGACCAAGTCTTGAAAACAATTATGCAAAAAATGTCAGTCTGTTGTCACTGATCCGTACGTACATTTGACTGTATAGCAAAAAATCCTCCATACTACCAGTTACTGATGGCACGTCAGAGGGTCAAAACAGACCTTGGGCTGAAAAATGATTTTCTGATTGAGGCATCATCAAGTATCAATTAGGAGACAACCTGGGAAATCCCATCATCTTCAAATTATGCACTAATTTGTACTTGTGTGGTCTCTAAGGACAGCATTAAATTTGCATGGATATGAATGTAGACATAAATTGTGGACTGTGATTTTGAAAAGGTGTAGGGAAGCATTTTGCTGGCAGTGTCTTTATTGGTGACGATGCATGAAGCAGAAAGAACTTGGACAGACTTGCACAATCAGGCTGGTAGTAGAAAAAATTAACATGGTATAACCAAGAGATGATGAATGATGCACTCCTCAGCACCATTTTAGGAGGACTGCTTTTCTAAGTGGGACAACATGCAAAGTTTGTCAGCTAAAATGTGCTAATAGCATGGAAGCAGATTTCTATTTCTGTCTATTACAAAGTATTGTACAGCAGGGCTGCCCCCGCTTGCCTGTTGATTATATACAAATGCATACTATTTAAAGTTGTTCAGCCAAACTCCATCTCAGAGCTCCATCTGTAGAATTTGGAATTTACTTGCTTGACGGTTTACACACCAATATTGTAATTCCAGGCAATGTCACAGTTATTACAGAAACCCCTGAAGAGAACTAGAGACAAGCTTTTAACCCCCGATAGAATAACTGAGGCTGTCACCATCATTGGCTACACCGTGCCACAGTGCAGGAAAATCTAACAGAGCAGGCTTGGGAAAAGCTTTATGAAGTGCGACAAAGTGAAGATCCACCAGGGACTTCATTTCAAATATAATCAGTTTTGTGTATGAGATCTAGAGTTAGTTGCTTGCTACTCTTAGGTATGAGTATATGAACACAAATGGCACAGACTTTCAAAATAGACTGTGACAGGCCTTCTAATTACTTTTAATGACTTGATGGTTTTCCCATTTTAAAAAATGAAACAAACATAGAATAGGCTCGCTTTAACATGCTAGAAAGTCAGAGTAGTGGCACTACTTGCTCTCGCCTATTTGGGCATCTTGAAACACTGGAAATTGAGACAGAAGTTCTAAGAGAGCCAAATTAATAAATAATCAACTATAATAATTAGTAAAACATCAATAAATAAGAGACAATGCAAAGCAACACTTGCCTGTATTAGAATCAATACTACCTTGTGTAAAAAGATAAATGGGGTACATAAACATTTAAATATTTCCAATCTTAATTCTCTAAAGATTTAAACCAGATATACAAATTTCAGCTTATGAAAAAGGAATTTTCTGTTTTGGACAAATTTTTATTGTTGCACTTGGCATAAAGATTTATGTAATCATAAAGCTTTAACCAAAATGCTAGCTTTGGTTTCATTACGCTGTGTTTCTGATTTCACTATGCTGGATTTCCTAATAGTAGAGACTAATTTATTAATCCATAGTACATCAGCTCTGTGGTTCACCTAACCTCTTTTGAAACACAACTTATCATCAATACCTACCAAAATAACCTTTTCAATGTCCTTGGCTGGACACCAATGAAACATTCCTGTAGAGTCATATTTTTTCACGTTGGCATCCATATTGTCAATCTGCTCGTTGCCAGGAATTAACAAGGGGTCATGCCTGGGGAAAAACAAGTTGAGGACAACATAAATGGAAAATATTATGAATTATGGATGGAAAAATATCCCAAGAGCTGTGTATGAAGACGAATAAAACTAAAAAAATGCACTTTAATATGCTTTCAATGAGGACATTTTTAAACAAAAACTGAATAGAAAAGTCAGTTTTTAAATTTTGGGTGCAGTTTCAAAGGATTTCTATACTCTTCCTATACAAATAAGCATTTAATTTTAAATAGGGTTTTCTGACACCATCATGATCCATAAAAGTTCTTCTTTTTCTTTCCAGGCCCACCCCTCTGAAATAAATATCAGAGCTGCTATAGGCATCTGCAATGAAGTGGAAGGGATAGGAACAGAGCCCCATGCTGACTGACTGGCATAAGTATGGAAAGCCAATTACTTGCTTTTACCACATACAACTTCTGACGTGATGCTCTTCACAGTAAAAGCTTTAACAGGCTGCACTTTAAATATTTTAGCAATTTGCCCAATCATATTTTGCTTTCCCAAACTGAAGCCCTTTAAAGATTCAACAGTATGTCATTTTAGAGCAGACTGACTAACAAATGCCCACATCTGGAATACATGATTTTAATACCAAACAACAATGTCCATTTGCTCTGACAACTCTACCTGTGATAACCTTCTAAGTGTTTTTGCAGTAAGATTTTAAAGCACACAGCTTCTCAAAGGAGAAGCAAATGAAAGACATTTTTATAAACTTGCTTTCCAGCTATACAGCTACATCTAAGCACAGATACATACAGTTCTTTAATTTATATGCTAAAATCAAACATTAAGCTAAGTACTAAGTGACTCCAACACTCTCAGATGCTAATGAAGACCCCTAAGTGACTGCATTATACAATAGCATTAGGAGAATTGTGTTCACAAGGCACAGGGTAAACTGACCCTCAAATCTTAAAATTAATGAGGGAATCGAGTTTTGTCTGGAAAGCCACAGTCTTTACCCTGTTTTTTTGTCATGAATGCTTGAAATATGCTGATACAGAATTGTAACATTTCAAGGAAGAAAACGTCTGCAATGTAGGAATATGCTAAGTGCTCTGAGACAGGTATCCAAATTTTCAAGAAGTTTGCCTTTTGAAGCCTGTTAAAGAAATGTCCACACTGTCTGAGCTCTTAAAACTGCAAAGTTTCCTGCTTTTAAAGCATTAGAGCCAGCATACTGTGGCAAGAACCTCACTTCTGTATCATCTACTAAAACAGACTGTGAACACAGTGTGTGATATCGGTTAATTTACCCTGAATATAGTATGGTAAATTACCACACAACCAACAGTTATATTTGCAGGCCTGAGAAAGGTATAATCTTGAATTTAATCAATGTGATTATTTAGTGTAATTTTATAATCACTGATAACAGACCCATTGAAATCACTGGAAAATTCTCACACATTTCATTCAAACAGGATCAACTCCAAAGAAAGTTCCTCAAAAAAAGCTGAGAAACTATTAATACAATTTTCCACTTAAACAAGAATCTTTTGATGCTTTAAAACAATCAATGCACTACATGGCAAAGGTATAAATCAGACTCATCTAGAAAAAAGAAACACTATGTTTTCAGAGTTGAAACTGGCAGTTGAGAAGCCTCTAGGGGATTACCTGGAGTCTCTGACCCTACTCCAGGTTTAATAATGACAAGCCTTGCCTAAGTATGCTATCTCTTTTGTAAGAAGCAGAGATGAAAAAGCTGTACCAAAGGGGTCTATTGTGAGGGTTTGGTTGAATTTTTGTTGTGTTTTCCTTCTTTTCTTTTTAATTTCTAGAAAAATATCTAGACTCTACATTCTCTTATTCCATTTATCAGCAACCTGCAGCCACGGTAGTTTTGACTGACAGCTAACTGTGATGCTGTTTACTGGGAATTCCCCATCTTTTCATAGTTGCACGTAGTACAGTAAGTTCTGCAACTGTGAACACTGTAACATTCAAAGGTTTTAATAATGTTCAGATAACATTTAGTGGTGCTTTCTCCTAGCTGTTTTCACCAATGGAATGGGTTAGCTATAAGTTTCAAAATAAGAAAGTTTGTCAAAAGATTAGGAATCTTAAGGAGTTTCCACTGAGAAATATCTTTCTTTCTGTTGCTTTAGGGTTTATGTTTTCCCCCCCCAATACTTTCACAAAACATTTCTTCATGAGTTTTCCTAGAAGAGCACTGAAACAAAAGCCAAGTTCACTGATTAAATCACCTTCTTTTCCTTTCAGAAATCAAATACAGATAAGAAGGAATTTTTTCCCCCACCCTTCATCAGAGAAACTATAATAAAGCAATTTAAAAAAAAATGCCTCATTCTAATTTTCTAATCAGTGTTTCTTTTCTGATCTGAAAATAAAATTAAATAGATCATCTGAAGCTTTAACACAAATGAGTATTTAGTAATACTCTAATCCCAGTCACAAAAACAATTCACAGAAATTATGCAAATTAAAAGGAATGTTATAACAAAGCAGGTGGTAACAGATATTTGACATCAATTATGGTCAAATGCCTTGAGGTTTGAGGCAATTTTTAGAGTATGAGCACTGAAAGCCTAGTATAGTTCTATTGGGCTTTGCATCCTAAAAGGAATATTCAAAATAGCTTGTGGCAAAGGTTTACTAGAATATCTTAGATTTAAACATAAGTGGGCTATGGAAAGAAAATAGAACATGAATTGTCAGATATAACTCCCTGTTGAAATTTTAGGTAATAAATTGTGACTTTTTTAAAAAAAAGCTTTAGGGTTTTGGGTTTTTTTGCTTTGTTTTTTGTTTGGTTGGCTTTTTATTTGATTTTTCTTGGTGGGTTTTTTGTTTGTTTTGTTTTTAAATCAATACATGAACCTATTCGCAGTATCATAAACTGTTCAGACTCTCTGCTTCACTGCTTGGAGTACAGCAAGGCGAAACTTTAAAGGGAGCAAACAGGATGGGACACACAACAGGAAAGCATGCTAAGAGATACTACTGTACTACTTCTACTCTAGGAGAATGGATTATTGCCTGAGGAAACTGTGATAAGACTAGCCACACTTTGTGTTTCAGAATCTATGGGGTTTTACATGTAAGTGTGTTTATTAAATTTAAATCTTTTGGGCTAAGATATTATTTTAATCTCTCTTTAAACAATGTTCATTCATTCTCAGTAAAGTGATCCCCGAAGATGTCTATGGAGGTTGAAAACTCTTTGGTACTAAGGTCCAACTTTGTCCTCAAATGTTAGAAGATATGCTGCCTTGTATACTCAAAAATGGAATTGATCAGAACAGTAATAAAATAGGATTACTACTTTGGACACATACATCCTCATTAATCTGATGATCTAAACCTTTTTGGCAAATACTAAAAATTAATTAAGACAGACACACAGAGAGGCCAAGACTGTCAAATCTGCCTAAGGCATTTGGACACCCTCTTCCCATTAAAATTTATATTACACAAAGCATTACAGTTGTTGCCCTTACAGCCAAATCATGGACTGAAGGTTTCTAGAGCCTCTCTGCCTCTTCGCCCTTGAAGATGGCCCTGTCAAGCTGTGCTTGAGTCACATTGGCAGGTTACTGTAGAAATGCTTATATCTGTGCTGAATTATTGTGGTCTCCCAGGCTGTAAAGTTGTCTGCTTCAAAAATTCAAATCATAGGCAGAAAAACACCTAACAATTAAATCCATACTCTTTGTTTTAATTGAGATGTTGGTTTTTGTCATTTGCAATGACCAAAGCATTTGGTCATTCCATCTAGGAAAAGGCAGGCATGTATAGCCTGCATGGGAGGAAAGGAAGAAAAGTTAGATTTCCATCATCCATAACCCTAGTTTAAAAATAGCTTCTCAGGTTCTTATGGCAGATATTACATACGCATGACTTAGAAGGAAGAGCAAAGTACCATCTTTTCAAGGTTTTGAAGAGCATATAATGCCACTTATGTGCAATTAAACTTGAAAATGACGCTAAATGCCATGCTACAGCTGCAACCCCAAAAAGCCTGCCTGGAAGACAACAGCCTAAAGCAAAACCATAAATCCCACTTCCAGCAAACCTACTGCAAGGAAGTCAGCATTACATTTTAAAGAGCACTGTGTTCCTAGAACACATTTATAACTACTGCAAAATTGGAGTTTTTAAGTCTGAAACTTTTGAGTACTGACTGGGGACGGACAGAACTGAAAAGACCATGCCAGACTAAATGGCTGCCTCATTAAATGACTATTGTTTAGCATAACCTTGCATTTTGTCACCCTTTCTTAACCCTCTTGCTATTTATATGCAATGAGCAACATACCCTCATTGATCTGCAGTGGAACTACTCAACATGCAGAGCACTGAGAACAAGAACAGTATACAACCAGTAGGGAGGACCCCGGTGCTGTTTGAAAATAAACTGTAGTCTGATAGTCTTTACACATTATTAAGACAATGTCTTGGCTAATTTTCATTCTGGCCTCCAACAAAATTCTCCTTATATAAAGTCAAGAGCAAAACACATCTGGGAAAAAACACAACTGCCCTTTAATCTGTGTTTGTTAAAGTCTGCAATTATGCCTTTCTCAGGTAGATATAATGTATCTGGATTTTGCACACAAAAAGATGGTTAGCTGCTCAAGATTCAGGGTCTTGAAACTCACGCTACCTGTGGTACAGGAATTTCAGGTTTTCCTACTTGACTTTTGTGAATATATCTTTAAAAGAGTGTGTACACACATAATTTTAGGAGGAAGGAATGGGTTTGTCAAAGGTAAAATAGGAATTGAAGACATGCTAGAGAATGTCTCATGTCTTTGAAATTTCTCCTACAACTATCCTAACAAATTGTGGCAATTAACATGCTGTTAGTGTTAGATGTATGCAGCCAGTGCAGGTGCTAATAATTGAAAAAGCATTTAGAGCTTTTACACCCTGGCTGAATATTTCATGATGTGCTGCATGTTTCACTATTTACTCAGTAGGCCTCTGTCACTTCAATCTTCTCTGATTGCTTTGACTGGTGCT